AGATCAGAACAAATTGTAAGCGTTGGTTAGATTGTGTCACTCCTTGACTCAAAATCCTGCAGTGGCAGTGGGTACAAGGCATCCACTATCTGGCCTGTGGATGCCTCAGGACTCCCCACCACTACACTCAGCTCCCCCTCTTCCACACCCAAGATCTTGGATCTTGTTGTCCTTCTGCCTGGAATGTCTCCAACTCCCAAGCTCCCTACCATACCATGACAGTTCAATCCCTCACCAAGTCTGCTTAAATATCACCTTTTTCACTTTTCCTTTACACATTTTCTTATTTTGTCACTTCCCAGGTGCATGGTAAACACCAGGTGTCCAGGAAGCTTTATGGCAGATGAATGAATGAATTCTTCTATGTTGAAGACTTCTACCACCAAGTGCATCGCCCTCATTGCTTTCTTGAATTCCTACAAGTCAGTGTAGTAGATGTTACACGGGAACTTCCTTTACATGGGTTGTAAAGAGCTAAGTGAAAAATAAAGTACATACACTTTAAAAAAAAGCTTATGATGTGGGGGTATCAGCAAAGGAAATGTCTCATGATCCCTAAATTCTACATCTGGCAAAGAGCCAAGTCATGTTCATTTTTACCATCTTTACAGCCTTTCCAATTGCTCTTGACAGGAAATTCAAGCTTACTCTGGAATTTACCTAAGCAGAATGTAATTAAAGAGGCAGAACTCCTGCTTTACATGGCCTTAGGACAAGGATACCAGCAAAAGAGCTACTGCTTATTTCCTTACTCACGTATTCCCATTATACACACAGATATTTCCTGGCTATCCATATAGTTCTTATTCATTGACCCCTTGTTCTGTTCTATTTTTTAAATAGTTCATATCTTATGTTATTAATGACCAGGAAGAAAGGTCTGCTGAACATACTAATTTTCTTCCCAATGTGTGTTCTATATGATACAGCGGGGATTTTACTCCTCTTTCAACTTAAGATATTATCAGTTTGTTAAGAATCTGCCCAAGTGGCAAAGCAGTGCTAGAGCATCAATTCTGGTAATGGTTCATCTACAAAGGTAGTTAGACTTTGCTAAAGGTGGTCCAGGGCCACCCTCTTTTCCTGTCTAGTTGGTCACCAATACTCTCATCTAGTGTCATTAGTATCTACATGTCATGTATGCTTGTGCCATCCATCAGTCAGGGGTCAGGAAGAAAAACAGGACCTAAATCATATAATACAATGCAGAGAAGTTAACACTTGAGTCAGTTGCAAATGTGCTAAAAAAAAAAAAGCTGTAAGGGCAAAATGGAGAGACTTTGCTGTCCTACAGAAAAGCAGCAGTAGCAGGAGCAGCAAGAGGCTGGATGGAGAGCAAACGTGGGGTGATGAAGGTTTAGGAACAGTGGGATCTGGGACCATGCAAAAAGGGCTAAGTAGGAGGAATTCATCGCATAGGAGATGCATTAACGGCGTCTATAGCAGAGAGGGGGAAAATATCTCTGGCTTCCCCCGCTTTCTTGCCCATAGCCTTCCAGAAGTCTCTTGACAAGGAAGCTTGAGAAATATAGTTTATATGGGTTGACCTTGTGCCCTCCATGCTTCCTTCTTCCAACCCTCGTTCCCTCAACCCACACATAGCAGAGCAGGAAATGAATCACAGCTAAGAGGCCAATAGTGGATACTGCTTCTAAACTACTTTCAGGTCTCATATTTGAGTTCCAATTTCTTACATTTAATTGTTGACCTGTCATTTCCACTTGCATATCAAATAGTCCTTTCTAATATAACATGAGCCAAAATAAACTTTTGATTCAAAAGCCAACCCATTTTGGTTGAGTTATGTCCCAAACAGCCAAACATGTGGATGCCATCTTGACTCTTTTCTCATTCCAATCCCTTCACAAAACCTGTTGATCCTACCTCCCTCAATAGTTCCCATCCATCTTTACTGTGACAACTTTAGGACAAAACACCATAATTTCTGCCATAGATTCCTAAAAGGACCTAACTGGCCTTGATATCATAACTGTGTCAGAGGATAATTCTTGTAGAACTTGAGGGCAAGGATAAGAAGCAGCACTTTTGGGACTGGCATGGTAACCAAGGCCTCACCTTGCATGTGCCAGGGATTCCATATGGGCGCCAGTTCATATCCTGCCAGCTCCGCTTAACATCCAGCTCCCTGCTTTTGGCCTGGGAAAGCAGTTGAGGATGGTCCAAAGTCTTGGGACCCTGCACCCACATGGGAGACCCAGAAGAAGCCCCTGGCTCCCAGTTTCAGATTGGCTCAGTTCCGGCCATTATTGCTACTTGGGGAGTGAATCATCAGATGAAAGATCTTCCTCTCAATCTCTCCTCTTGGTATATCTGACTTTCGAAAAAAAAAAAAAAAAGTCCTAAGTGCTAGGGAAGCCACTGATGGGAGCAACATATACTAATTAATATCTTAATAAGATTGATCACTATAGCTTCTTTTTTTGAAAAAAGGTATTAGTCTGAAAGGCCAAGTGACCAAACACACACACACACACACACACACACACACACACACACACACACACACACACACGGAGGGAGGAAGAGAGAAAGACACAAACTGGTTTGCTTCCTAAATACAGACACTGGCTAGGCTGAAAAACCAGGAACTCCATCCAGGTCTCCCATGGTATGGCAGGAACTCAAGTGTTGAGCTATTACCCAGTACTTCACAGGTACATTAGCAAAAAGTTGGATCAGAAGTGGAGTAGCTGAAACTCAAATCATTACTCCAATATGGAATGCAGGCTTCTCAAGCAGAATCTTAACTTGCCATGACACAGTACCTGTCCTTAATCTAGTATCTTTGTAAAGTCAAAGGGCAAAGGACCAAAATTGAAGAATGAAGACCAGTTAGATCATGATTCTGCATTTTAACCCATTTCCCCCAATCACTAGCCACAGTCTTTTCCCTGCTCCTCAAACATGCACAGCTTATCCTGTCCCCTTAGGGCCTTCCAGCAGCCTACAATGTGTGTATGTGTCCTGATTTTAGCACAACTGGCTCTGCACCAAGTTTTGCATCAGGCTTGTTCACAAATATCCTGGTTCTCTCCTTCGGCACGCAAGTAGGGTTGTACTATGTGGCAATCTGGGTCTTCAGCATGGCTCTATTTCTCCTAACCAACTGTAGGAGGATGTGACATTCACCGCTGATGGAAGAAAACTTTAAAAACCGCTGTGTGCTTCAGACCCTCTGCTTCCACAACTCACATGTTCCAGGAAATGGTTATTTCATTGGCCTCCGGCCCCATGGAGAGAGTGAGAGCAAGAAAACAGTCTTTGCAGCTTTAACTTACTGAAATGTTAAGCTTGTCAGCACGGCACACCTGGCCCATCTGGGCTGTGACAGGCCTTCCGCTCCTTACACGAGCCAGGATTACATCTACCCATAGCAATCACCACCATCTGAAAATTTCTACTTGCTAGTGTCATTTATTTTGTTTCCATCACGCACCCCTCTCCCTAAGTCTATGAAAACTGAATGCCACCAGGGTCTTTGTTTATAGATTCACCACTAAATCCCAGCTTCTTGAAGAGTGACCAGCCATAATCACTAGACAAATATTTGTTGAACTTCTGATGTGCATATGCAAACATTTGTGGCTTGAATGCTTGTTTGCTAGCAGAATCAGATGATGAATCTTGTGCTCAGCAAATCTGAATCCCCAAAGTCTAAAGTTTTACTCTGCTATTTGTGGGTCAGATGGACCACTTGGGTTACCCCTCCCAGTTACTCATAGGAAACCAAGTGGCTCCCATCACAGCCACTGCAATTCCTCGGTTAGACAAAGCTACACTGTGAGACCAGAAAACAGCTGACCCACAAAAAGAAAGGAAATCTTAGAAACATAAATCCCAAGTGCGACATCATCCAGAGAGGAGACAGAATTTATGTTGATGCTAAGACGTAGACACTGTCCTATCCATTTTAAAGTTTCCACACAGGCTGATCCTAATTATCCAGAAACACCAAATCCCCAATTTCATTACTGACATAAAATATCAACACTGAAAAGAACCTCAGTGGTCACTCAATGTAGACTACTCTTCGTCTCTTGGCTTAATTAGATCTCACTGTTGTGTGCCAGAAGCTCAGATCCTGGAAGCTCACATCGGTGGCTCTGTGGCATAAATCATCAACCATTGCTTTCTTGCAGCAAACATTTAAAAGTGTATTGTTCCACCACTCCATTTTGTAAGAAGTCTTTTAAAGAAGCTACCATTTATAAAATTAGGCTTATGGTATTTTTAGCTTTTTAGATTTTTGCTCCCCACTTGAAAAGTTTTCTCAACATTTCAAAATGCTTAAGATGTTGAAGAAATTAGTTCCCCAAAACTATAAAGTCATTATTATGTCTGTTCTTGAAGGAACCAAACCCTCCACGACATACTAGTTTTTTCAAGACAACATCATGTACATAGGTTTCAAAGAGCTTTTTTCACCAAACAACAGCAACAACAAAAACACCTTATCTATGAATTCCATTAGCTTTTTGATGTGCCCATGTATATACTCAACTAGGGAACTTTAGCTCATTTGCCAAAAATGTACTGCCAAAGTCTTAATTCTCTAAACATTTGATGTAAAATGAATAACTCTGAACATTAATTGGTGCCAAGTTCTACAATTGTGTTCTTCCTAAATTCATTAAGCAAGTTGTAATTCAAAATTCAACTACTAGGCACCTGCACAAAACAATTTTTAAAATATACAAGGCCATCTTATTTCCCTGCCACAATGGGAGTTTTGAAAAGCCCTCAAGCACAAAACCATATGCACACAAGGGAAAACCATTTACATGTGGATAAGGAAACGGAACATTTTTTCACATTGACTTTAATATTTATATTTTACCAAAATTTTCCTGAACTCAGTCATCATAACTAACACTTTTTATAGAATTATTTACTGCATCTTTAAAATCAAAATAAACTAAGCAGAGAACATACAGTTGAAGAAAACTGGATGTCAGTCTATATAATGATTTACTTTCGGCATGACAGACTTTATTTTGGCACTTTAACAAATATTTTGCTTTACAGCAGTGACAAAATATTTGCCAGAACTTTTCTTTTCCTGGCATGGATACTCCAAGCAGTTGTTATTCTATGAATTGAATTTCACTTTGCCTTGCACAGAAAGAGGTGTACCCACCACATTCTTCTCAACCTCTGCAATTGAGGATTCTGCAGCTTTTTAAGTCACTCCAAATAAAGTGAATCGATTCTGTAGGAGAGGGATGAAAGTCTAAGATTTAAGGCCATTCAGGATTTAAGGAAACACCGTTCCAAGTGTTGCTTTAAGAAAAAAAATAAAGTGAGTTCTGGGGCAATTCCAGGGAATGTTCTCTTAATGAAGTGGTCAAATTTTATACAAAGTAAACACGTTGGAAAAGTTGCTGCTTTTGCTGTCACCTCCCTATTTCAGCGGTTCATAATTGAAAATAAAATTAATGGTAAAACAGCAAATGAAACTGTTCAATACAGGTAAGTGCCTAGCCAAGGTACCCTTACACCTTTACCACCTCTCCTGCTCAGGCACCACTGCCCATTAACGTCCATCCTATGGAGCAAGGCTCTCATGGAAGACACAGAAACTCCTTATTCTCCACCATGTGAGCTGTGGTGTGCCATCTCTTAGTCCTTCAGTTAAGCTTCAGGAGAGATTTGGAACACGGGCTCAAAGGTAATCAATCTGCAAGACTTAAGCCATAGATAGGCTTCCAGAATGACTTCTTCAAATCTTTGGAATTTATGTTCTTAAATGCTGTTTGCAAAAGCAGGCATCTATCTCAACATTGCCATCAGCTATCCTACAAAGGTTGCAAACGTCAGGATTCCCTGGCAGCCTTGCACTATCTGCACCCAAGCACACACAGGCTGCTAACACTCAGATTTCCTCTGACCAGTCCAGAAGCGAAATCTGGGAACAGACAGCCTCGTGGATGGGCTCTTTGGTTTTGATTTTATAGCCACCATGGAACACTTAAGAAATCAAACCCACATTGTTCTTGAGAGCAGAACAGACATTCATTAGCAATGGGGAAAATGTACATTTGATCGAAAATGTACAAAATTTATAACAGTGACATTTTCAATATTAGGCCACATGATTTATTCAGTAGTTTTTATGTTCCCAAATTACAATTTTTGTCTATTCATAAGACTACAAAAGTTACCATTTAGAATTGTCTGTGCTTATAAAATACCAACTTCGTTTTTAAACTGTTATATATACTCATTTAACACCAGTCTGTGACAAGTTACATAGAATCATAGGCACTTCAAAGGCTTAAAAAGATGTTTACAACTTAAAAGCATTTTTAAGAATAAAGGCTGATTTTTCATTAAACCCTACTCGTACCATCGAATTACAAGAAATTAACAAATACAGTGGCCAAGGAAATCTGCAGCAACTTCTCAAAATACTGTTAGCATCTTTGGATTTGCTCAGTAACTCGCATCCGATCCTCCCCAAAGAAGATCTGTTTGGAGAGATAAGACTAAACAGTTTTGGTAGTAATAGTCCAATTTTACACATTAGCTCGCTCTTGCAAATCTGCCTGAAGCTATAGGTAATGAAACATAAAGCAAGTGTAAAATGGACATTCTGACACTGAAAAATTTACATAAAGTTGAAGTTAAAGTTTACATATTTGAAAAATCACATATACACTAAATTACCATTATCTGCAATTTCCAGGGACAAATTGCACCATGACAGCTACAAAAGGCATAGGATTTGATTTTGGTTTTAAGGGGAGAGAGGGCAGGGCAGAGGAAAAAGAGGAGGACAACAGATAAATTAACAAAATAAGACCAACTTGGTTAGGTCAAGCCGAGACATGCTGACACAAACAAAACAGTTCTCATCTTCAAACTGTAGTATAAAAACAATCCTTTCATATTTGCACATAAAAGTTTAAACCAATTCCATGAACATTAAGGGTTTTTATAACATAATATTTTGCCACTGCTATTCACAGAACACTGCAGATGTTAAATTTTAATTTTATGTTGTTCTAAAGAAATACATGAAAAGTTTTAAATACAATGGGATTTTATCATTAAAGTGCCAGACTGGCCCTTTAATGGAGAAACAAAAATAACAAAAACAAACAAAACAAAACAAAAACCAAAGATCTTCATTACTCTATGCAAAAGCTTTATTTTGAAAAGTTCAGTGATCTCACAAATAGAGACACTAAGTGGGAGTTTTATGCATAAAACTCCTTAGTAGGTGCCTTCTGATAAGCAGCACTGGATGGTTTGCGTTCTCCAAGGTCATAGCTGCCTTCATCCTTCTTTCTCATGCGATACACCAGCAGCAGGATAAGGAAAATTGCAAACAGAAAGCCGATAACTCCCCCGGCAATGACAGCTGGAACAAACCAAAAGAAAGATTGTTTTCAGCAGAGATTCAAGGGCTGCAGAATGTGGCTTTGTCAAACCCAATCTATTTACATTTTTATAAAAGGCCTAATTTGAAAACCTAAACTTAAGAAAAAATGGATGGATTCAATAAAGCAACCAGGTAATTATGCAAATCTGACATTTCTCAAGAAGGTACAATGCTTTCTTTGATTAGTATTAATATCACCCAATGAGAAAAATCCAGTTGTGACCTCAACTAATCCCATACTTAAAATGCTTTCATCTTTTCAGTCCTCACATTTCACATTCTCATTGTCCAATGCTTTTCTTGTGAAAACACAATGTATGATATCATTGACTTAAAAAATTTTAATAGTAAAGGTAAAACAAGCATGCAACTATCTTTCTAGTCTGGGTTTTGATTTTCCAAGGATTAGGTATTGCTAAATCTTGCAAGTCAACTCTTTGCTCTTCCACAATGTAAGTTTCATTTAAAGACACAGTCTTAATAATGTGGGTAGTGAACTGCTCCTGACTCTGTCCTCCACTCCGAACATCTTCATCTTTTTCTTAAGTTCATTTTGAAATCACGATGCTCTGTTTTCCTACTCATGACTGAGCTTGCTGGTAGAAAACAAAAAGGATGCTTGCCTAGTTTCTCACAACAGATCAAAGGACCCCACCATCGCTTTCCTAATACCATTTAGAAATCCTTCCTACCAGAGCACCGCCAACTGCTCACCTGCAAGGACTTCTGTTCGTTTGAACAGGTTGTCCGAGTGCTTCTCGGTATATACGTTTGTGTCTTCTTCAGCAGGGTCCATTTTCCTTTCTGAGTCCGAGAGATGAACCTTCTCCTTATCGATTTCCTCAGGTGTCTGGGATGAGGGAAAGGGAAACGTGACATCATCTTCTAAGCATATGCTGGAAAGAAATGATAACAGAAGGACTCCAAAGCCCTCTTTCTCCTGACCTCGGGTTTAGGAAGTCATATCTATAGACAATTCATACAATGTCTACACCAATGTGTGAGTCCCACGGTGAACTCAGGAGTCATGGATCTGCATGACACCCATCACACCAACTGTCAAGATGGACACTCAATGATTTTTTATCATAATGCCAAGGATATGTTCAGGTGTTTTGGTTGATGCTTCCTGTGATCTCTACACTCTCACTGCTCTCTTGATTTCTCCACCAGTTCCCTCAGGCTGCTCTAGCCCAACAACAGGGTGCTAGTTTTCCTGGCGCCTTCATGTTTTTGCTACCTACAGCAATGCATTGAGAACTCCTGCAGAGGTCCCCACAGTCTTACTCTGAAAAGGTTTTACCTACTTAGTCTTGAACCTTCAGTGAAATCTGGATGAGAACTTCAGGTGACCTGGATTCTTCAAGTAGCTCCTTTGAGACCCTAACCAATTCATTCTGCTTTTCCATCCTTCAGTTACCTCATCTGCCCAATGAAGGGCACTTTCAAGTTACTGGAAGTTCCACAATGCAAGGTCTACCTTACTATCTTGCAGCCTCAACTTTAGTCAGCATTTATTTCCATCTGGCCAGCAGCCTACAAGACATTTACCCTCAGTTGTACCTCTTTTCACACTGTTTGTCAGTTTATAGAGTAATTTCCCACCAAATCAGATCAGCTCTCTTATATTTCCATTATTGGGATCATATAGGGGGTAGGGAACTAACTGTTCCAACATATTTCATATTGTGTATTTCCCATGTCAGTTTAAAAGAATCTCCACTCTCTTTAAAGTTAAGTTCCTGCCTTGGAGTATCATTTCTACAGCTTTGCTCATTTCTTTATCACATCATTTCTGTTTCTATAATGGCCCAAGAATTTTACATGCTGGATAGCATCCAATCTTCACCTAGGCCCACCATTTGCTCCCCAGTAGAAAATTCAGCGAGGGCACCTCTATTACTTCTTATTTGCAAAAGCTGATTCTTTTCTCTCTTTTTTTTAAAAAAGATTTATTCATTTTTATTACAAAGTCAGATATACAGAGAGGAGGAGAGACAGAGAGGAAGATCTTCCATCCGATGATTCACTCCCAAGTGAGCACAACGGCCAGTGCTGCGCCGATCCGAAGCTGGGAACCAGGAACCTCTTCCAGGTCTCCCACATGGGTACAGGGTCCCAAGGTATTGGGCCGTCCTCGACTGCTTTCCCAGGCCACAAGCATCTTTTATCTTTTTAAAAGATTTATTCATTTATCTGAGAGTCACAGTTATAGAGAGAATGAGAGACAGAAAAGGTGAGAGACCAAGAGAGGTGGTTCTTCCATCCATTGATTCACTTTCTAGATGGCCTCAATGGCCAGAACTGAGCTAAGCTGAATCCATTACCCATAAATTTCTTCCAGGTCTTCTGCACGGGTAGCTGGGGCCCAAGCACTTGGACCATCTTCCACTGAACTAGAGAATAGGTTACATGCATTCTTACCTAGAGACCCATTTTTCTGCTTGCTAGTTATTTTTTGCTGGTAGAGGTTATGAAAAGGAAGAGAAAAATAGATGGACATTCAGGATTGGAAACGAAGAGGAGTACACAAATTCTAGTGGGAAATGAGATGGACATAAATAGCCGCTGCAATATAACAAAAATTTCATGGAAAATGCATATCACCAAAAAACCTGGGAAAGGTGAAGACACACTTGGGATTCTCACACGTTATTGGAGTGTCTTGGTTTAGGGACTGGGCTCCACTCCCGATTCTAGCTTCCTACTATTGTACACCAGATAACTGATAACACTTCATGCAGTTGGGTCTTTACACCGACTTAGGCCACCCAGAATGACCTTAGCCTAACCTAGCCTAACCAGCTTGGCTGCTGCAACATTTGTGGAGAGTAAAACAAAAGATGGGAGATCTATGTATCTCTCTCTTTATCTTACAATTAAATTTTTTTTTGAAAATACGTGTATGAATCTCAAAAAAGTATTTCTTCTCCAGAAACAAACTTCAAGTCCCATCTCCCATGAACTTTCTAAAGCATGCTTATTTTAGAGACTGAGTCTAATTTATCCATGTCAGCTTTGACCCATTATTATGACAAATCACATTACCTCAGAGCTTTTGAGTTCCTAAAGTCATTTAAGAGAAATGATCCATTTGACTCACTAGGAAGTAAAACTAAGCCTGCACCCCAGGGATCCGAGGTCATGAGGATACAAGGCTCACTAGAGTCACGCTGCCTGTGAAGGAATGGTCCAGAGTCCACGAGCTTCAAGGAGCCCTGGGTGAAATAGCCATCTTTTTAATTTGAGAAGTTTTATAGTATGGGAACAGAAGTTTGACTAAGAGGAAATTATTCTACAGCACAGAACTAGTTGGAACAAACCTTACTTTTGTATACATGTGCCCAATAAAATTATACCAAGGTAGCACAAACAACTACATGAAGCTGATGAAAAGATCGCCATGTCCATGTCTGACTCTTTGGATGTCATGGTCATGGGCTGGAAGTAAAAGATGACAGATGATGATCTACTTCAACCAATAACTATTTATATTTTAGTCACAGAAATGTACTACAAACTAGAAAGAAGAGCTATAATACTGGCATTAATGTCACTGAGAGACTCATTCAACAGCAAAATCTATACTAATGCTATCCTAGAAGTAATGTTGAATTCAGCCATATCATACAGCTATAAAATGGAAAATGGAATCACTACTGTTATTTATTATTAATGCCATCATAATTAGGGACTAGAACAATATTTGAAACATAATAAAAGTACAGATATATAATCTATCATTAATAGATAAATTTTCATTACTACATGAACACAACAGTAGTAAGCATAGAAATATATTAAGATGCTTTGGAATTGCCCATTTCTAAATTCATCTGCCAAATGCCTATTATTCTCCATCTTGATCTGATGCAATTACTATCTTAAGGTTGATTTTTAAAAGCTTAAATACATTTTCAATTCACTGTTGTCAACAAACCCTCAGTACTCTATATCAAACTCGATTTGCTTAGAACACAAGCCTGTCACTAAAAGCCACAATCCACACAGCAGAGTGTTTTTCCGCCAGTGATGAGTTCTAATGGTTGCTAACATCAAGAGATGTCATCATGAACAGCAGCCAAAAAAAAAAAATGTGGTAAAAATAAACAAACAAATAGAAATGCATCTTTCAACGAGCATTCCTGACTACTAATTGCACTTGCTACTTCTCATTTCTCTGCTTCTCCCTTCTTTCAATTTAGACACTGAGGGAGCAGCATCCAGGCCTGCAGCCATCACTCCAGCTAGGAATGTCTACCTGGGTTCTCCACGGGTCTTCCTTTCCCTGCAGGCAGTTTGCTACTAACATGGATCGACTCTTCCGACAAAGTACACCAGTCTGGACAGGGCTGCCCCCTGGCTGCTTCACATCAGCACAAGCCCATCAGGCTGTGTCATTCACCATAATGGTCACATGCACAGGGGCACTGAGGACGAGGAGGTTTCTGCGAAGGGTAGGAAAGACCCACATGTGAACCTGCCTGCAGAGGGGTGCTGCTTGCTCCAGGGAGCCTCTCACTAACAAAACAGCCTTCCATATCCTGCCTGCTGCTAAAGCTTGGCAGCATCTCCTTTCTAAACAGAAAAGCTCCAACACATTTGGGTTTGTAAGTTTTCAGAAGCAGCATGCAAACTCCACCACTGCAGTTACCACACATGTTCATTTGGTGTATTGGATTGGCCTTTTCTGCTCCACCAAACTCAGTGTTTACACAATGCTTACCAGGTCTCCAGTGCCATGCTATAAGCACTTGTATTTAATCTTCTTAATGACCCATAGGAATGGCTCAGAAACTAAGAAAGTTGACTGGATCCATGATGAAGAACTTAGGCCTTCTCCAGATTTTATTACATATGTTCCAATAGCCAATCTATTAACAAATGGTCAGCAAATGGCAATATAGCACTAGTGAACCAAAATCATGAATTCAGCTAGAATTTGCTAGGCACGTTTGATCTGCCTTAAGACCAAAGACCTCATTCTAAATGAGTTAGGTCTCAAAGTGAATACATACAGGTGTGCCTGGGTTCATCATTATCGTAAGAGGTCCAACTTTCCAAACTACTGATGAGTGCCCAGGGAGACTTTGAGAAATGGTTTATTGAAAACGTGACAAGATGTATAGTCAAGGTATGCAGTGAATGAATGAATGAATGAATGTATCATTCATTCTCTTGCCCATCTCAGCTTATGTTAAGTTTACAATGGTTTAATTAAGAGCATTCTCTGGAACATAAAGAAAACTTAAGCCAAGTCAACTTAAGAAGGAATGCTGGGGCCTGGCACGGTAGTCTAGTGGTTAAAGTCCTCAACTTGCATGCACCGTATCACATATGGGCTCTGGTTCTAATCCTGGCAGCCCTGCTTCCCATCCAGCTCCCAGCTTGGAACCTGGGAAAGCAGTTGAGGACGGCCCAAGGCCTTCTTGGGACCCTGCAACTGTGTGGGAGAACCAGAAGCAGCTCCTAGCTTCTGGCTTCAGATTGGTTCAGCTCTGGCTGTTGTGGCCACTTGGGGAATGAATCATAGGATAGAAGATCTTCTTCTCTGTCTCTTTTCCTTTCTCTATATCTGCCTTTCCAATAAAAAATAAATCTTAAAAAAAAAAAAAGAATGCCGTGTGAAAATTATTTGTATATAAATTAGACATGGGTGGTAAAAACAGTTAAGTAGACAAATGCCAAAATGATCATAAGGAATAAAGAAAAAGTCACAATGATATGATGGTAGTTCACAAAATTCACAAAAAATGGAATTAAAAGACAAATTTATTTTGGGCAAAAAATGTTTGAAATCCACGTATACAGGGAACATTCAGAAAGTTCATGCAAAGGGCCCATGTTTTTGTACAGCAAGTGAACCCACCATCTGCAATGTCAGCATTGCGAAGGAGTGCCACTTTCAGTCCTGACTGTTGTACTGATCCTGTGTTTGCCTGGCCCAGCTCTAGCCATGGCGGTCATCTGAGGAGTGACAGCAGATGGAGGATCTTTCTCTCACCCTCTCTCTTCATCCCAACCCCACCCCTCTGCCTTTCAAAAGAGTTTATGAAAAATATGAAAAATGTGTATTATAAATACTATATATAAGTCAAAATATTTTGCACCAAAATTATTTTTCATTCCATTTTTTAGAAAGATTTTCATACTATTTGGGGCAGTATTGTGGTACAGCAAATTAAGCTACCACCTGCATTGCTAGATTTAACAATGGAGCACCATTTTGAATCCTGGCTTTATCATTTCTGAGTCTGGGAAGGCAGTAGAAGATGACCCAAGTACCTGGGCTTCTGCCACCCATGTGGGAAACCCAGACGGAGTTCCAGGTTCCTGATTTTTGCCTGGCTCAGCCCCAGCTGGCCAATTCGGTCATCTGCGGTAGTGAACCAGCAGACAGAAGATCTCTGTCTTTTCACCTCACTCTGTTACTATGAATGCCAAATAAATAAAATTAATCAAAAATAAATCTTTGGAGCCCGGCGGTGACCTAGTGGCTAAAGTCCTCGCCTTGAACACTCCAGGATCCCATATGGGTGCCGGTTCTAATCCCGGCAGCTCCACTTCCCATCCAGCTCCCTGCTTGTGGCCTGGGAAGGCAGTCGAGGATGGCCCAAAGCTTTGAGACCCTGCACCCACGTGGGAGAACTGGAAGAAGTTCCTGGATCCTGGCTTCGGATCGGCGTAGCACCGGCTGTTGCGCTCACTTAGGGAGTGAATCATCTGATGGAAGATCTTCCTCTCTGTCTCTCCCTCCCTCTTTGTATATCTCACTTTGTAATAAAAATAAATAAATCTTTTAAAAAAATCTTTGGCCCCTTCATAATTTTAAATGAGACCTTTTAAAGAAAAAACGCTGTCATATAATAAAAGAGAAAAGGAGAGAGAGAGAAAAAGTATTTACGATTCCTTGATAACACAATACAAGCAAGAACACACCTTTGTCTGAGCAGGCATCTTGTTTTGTATCTTCAGTGTTGTGGTTTCCACTTTGGGAGCAGCACTCGTGATGGGTACCTTTAGCGATGGTCGAGATGCTGTCACCTCTGGACTTTCTACGTCCTCACCAGCTCCTAGAAAAATATCACAAGTCAAGTTGAGTTCTGTTTTACTGGAGGTAGTTATACAAAGCCGTGTTCTTTCAAAATCCCAGCTCTGCACTGCACTGAAGGTGTTCCAAAGGGCAGCTATAGGTGCCTTGGAAGGTGTTTTTCTTTTTTTTTCCATAATGCTGTTATCCTGAACATCTCAAGTAGCTCTCTTTTCACTGGCCCCTTTCTCAATCTCTCCTGCTCAGTGAGATTTCTTGTTTAGGTGGAAGCATGTTCCACTCTCCATTTTAAAAAGACAACACAACAAAATACAGAAAAAGAAAACCTGTCTACAGCTGACTCCTTATCTCATGATGAGCTGCCATTTCCTTGACATATCATATTTCTTTGGGCTTCTGGGATTCCCAGGCTTTCCCCTACCTCTCTGGCTAGAATCAGTCTCCCTGACAGGCTTATCTCCCCCTAGCTGAATGCTAGTTTTCAAAGTTCCTCAAGGTTCAGCCTTAGGCCACCTCTTATTTTATACTTTCAGATTCAGACTCATATATCCAAAAGCTTACTTGTCACTTTTCACTTGAATGGCTCAAAAGTATTATCTCTAACTTGTCTAAAATAGAATTCAGGACATCTTTTCACCCTTTACAAACCAGTGTTCTCTCACTTTGTATGCCTGAATCCTCTGTTCTTACTATACCTGAACTATAACTTCTGTTATTTTTAGCTCCCTGTGGAACCCATCACCCAATCCTCCCGATTTTACCTTCTTCATTTTTCTCTATTGTAACACCTTCCTACAGTTCTGGGGCATGAATCACTGCATCTGCCCTCTTCCTATCAGACCCTTCTAGTCCACTGTCCACAAATCAGCTAAATGGCTCCACCATCCTCACTGAAAACTCTTACATTGGCACCCAAATGTTCCCAGGTTGCACTAAAATGCCTCAGCCTAATCTTGTGTGGTCTGGCCCCAGCTTCTTTAAGCATCAGTGTCTTTGCTGTCTTCTGAGCCTGCTGATCAGCTAGAGTTCTTACTAATTCATTCCTAATGCACCCACAGGTGTTGGGGAAGACCTACCTTGTGCAGAATTCTGAGTTCTTTAACAAACTGTCTTTAGAATCATTGTCCTTACTCTAATTGCATTTAACACAAGTTTGCAGTCATGTACTTACTTATTGATTGATTAAGCACTTATAATAAATAACTACTCTACTAGACTGAAATTTTCCCAAGGTCCAAGAATTGCACCTGTTTAGCTCCCAGAGTATCTAGCACAATTTTTTTTACACTTACAGCCTCCAACATGATATTTGTTTCAACAAGTCATTAGTTACTGAGTTCTCTGCTGGGCACTTTTTTTTTTTTAACTGGAACAATGTTTACGGATTTTAACATTTAAAGTACAACATAGTTCTAATATTAATTATGTGGCAGACTCGTAAAAACAACTCAAAATAAATACAAACTAGCCTGTTTCCTCAGACAAAAATGAATAACAAATACTTCTAAATTCCTGAAAAGGATGAGTATTTCTCATAGAATCATATCAACATAATAAGCAATTTGGAAGGCAAGAGACAACAAGCTGGAAACAGAGTAATTGGCTATGGTTCATTTCTTAATTTGTCAACTGTCTTAACTTCAGAACATTCGTACTTGCTATTATAATAGAGAAGAAATGGCAGGCTATATGGGAATGAAAAAAGGGTTTGGGCATTAGAAAAACAAATCAATGTAGCAGTGACCCTGGCATTTATTAGCTCTATTATTAATTACTGTGTCTTAGTGTCTTTACTTGTAAAATAGGAATAATAATAACAACTCAGAGGTGCATATTATCAACCACAGACAGACATGATACACATTTGGAAATATGCCGAACTCACAGTAAAAATAAATCATTAATGATGATGCCAGAAATACAAAATATAGTTAACTTTTTTTCTTTCAGTGAAAAATTTTTCAGTGAAATCTCAGGCCTGGCACAATGGCTCAATTGACTAATCTTCTGCATTGCAAGCATCACGATCCCATATGGGTGCCGGTTCATAGCCCAGCTGCTCTGCTTCTCATCTAGCTCCCTGCCTGTGGCCTGGGGAAGCAGTGGAGGATGGCCCAAGAAGTCTTGAAATCCTACACCTACCTGGAGACCTGAAAGAATCTTCTGGTTCCTGATAGGCAAGCTGCTGCTGTTGTGGCCATTTGGGGAGTGAACCAGTGGATGGAAGTGTTTCTCTCCATCCCTCTTTCTATAAATCTGCCTTTCCCGTAGAAATATATAAATCTGTTTTCTTCTTTTGAAGAGTGAAATCTCAATGAGAAATGAAATCTTTCAGTGAAGGAGCTTTAAAATCCCACTGTGCTTACTTAAGAGTAAAAACAGAGAGAGAAAAAGAAAGCGGGAGAGAGAAAGAAAAAGAAGCCAAAACTGGGAACTTGGTCTAAGTCTCCCTTGTAGGTGGCAACGACCCAGGCATGTGAGCCCTCACTATTGCCTCCCAGGGTCTACATCAACATGAAGCTGGAAGAAGGACCTAGGGTGGGACACTGAACCCAAGCACTCTGATATGGCCATACGGGTATCTTAACCGGCAGTGTAATGGCTAACACACTTGCTTACCAAGAGTTCCAAAGATGAGTCAGAAAATGGGCTGGGGAGAATTTATACGTGAGAAGAGTCTTATGGGGCAAACAATTCTTTGAGTTAGCTTATCTGCGGTTTGAGCCAGTTAAGTCCTGTGCCTCAAGAGGTAGGTTATTATTTTTACTAATGCTAATAAGAGGAGAATCCCTCTTGCATAAACTAGAAACCTAGGATCCCCTAGTTCACCTCTTCTCTCACCTCTCTCCCCATTGTGAAGCTCCTGCTTTTTTGTCTAAAAGATCTCACCCTAAAGCTGGTCTTCCTCCGGGGAAGCCCTGTGATTCCATCAAGACAGCATCAACAGCATCTTCTCTACAGCCTCCTGTCATCTTTCCAACATCTTTCCGTATGTTCCCACCACTCACCCTATTTCGTCTCATTATTTTGAAAAAGAGACACAGAGGCAGACAGCAATGCTCCAATTGAAATGCCCACAACAGTTGAGGCTCGGCCAGACTGAAACCAGGAACCTAACTCCACCAATTTTACCTTGTGGGTTGCAGAGACCCAGGTACCTCGGCCATCATTAACTGTGTCCCACGTGCATCAGCAGGAAGCTTGATCAGAAACAGAGTAACTAAAGACTTAAACTGGGAACTCCAACATGGCATGTAGGTATTCTGAGTGGTGGCTTAACTAGCTATACCATAAGGTTTGCTCTCCTGTTATTGTTAAATAATACTTTTTCATTTATACTATGAGCTGAATGTTGATATCTGCCCAAAATTCACATGCTGAGACCTAATCCCCATTGTGATTGTGTTAAGAACCAGGAGATAAGATATATGTATTCCACATTGGAATGCCTAGATCTGGCTCCTGACTCCAGCTTCCTGCTAATGTGGATAACAGGATACCAGGGCAACGGTGCAAGTAATCTGGAAGACCTCGGAAGGAGTCCCAGCTATTGTCTCAAATGTTGTGGGCATTTGGGGATTGAATCAGCAAATTGGAGTCTCTCTGCTTGTTTGTTTCTTTTTTAAGAATTTGGGAATCTTGAAACAAGATAAATAATCAAGTTATTAAAATGCATCTTCATGGGTACGATTTAGAAACACAGAAAGCAATGAGGGAATGTCTGAAATTATCATGACACTATCAAGCGTTGAATGTTTCTGACTGAAGTGTTCCTGGAATGGTGCCTGCTATGGCATACTGAGAGTGGTCAACAAACACTTCCTGAATGAATAAACATCCTTGGTATCTCCTCCCATTCTAATGAATTTCTCACTTTTCTCATGGCAGCTCCACTCTCTAACAACTCTGTGTTCTTAGAGTGTTTCTGTTTTTACAGCATCCGGTTCTTGTTCCACTATTAAAGCATTTCCTTATCTCTCTGAATTCACCACATTTTTTTTTGGTAACTTCTCATTTTCCTGCAAGCTTCTGTCTTCTCCGAATGTTCAAGTGGCAAGAGAGCTCCATGTCTCATGTCATGTGTCTTTGGGCAAGGAATGGTGGTTATCAGAAGGCACACTGCAGAACTGAGAGAAGTCCTGAGCACTTGGGCAAGGTTTGTTCACTGTGGCCACCATCACCCAAGACAAGGCTCTGCATTTTGTTGGAGAGCACCCAAGTCACTGTGTCTCATGGCATCTCTTTTGAGTTGGTTGACTTGCCCAGAGGGAGCTTCACCAATCCTGCACCCAGAGAACAAAATAAAGACCCCACTGCTAGTATGCCAAGAACTGACTGAAAGAAGAAAACTAGGGATATATCTCAGTAATAAATAGCTCCTAATCTTTGGAGTTACTCTCCTGGCTTTACATAAAGTATTCTATTCCCATCTGCACCAGTAATACCCCATTCTGAAGACTGTGTTTTATCATTTCTAGTTTCCATGTGAAATTGAGAAGTGTGAGCCTCTTTGTTGTATGAGGGAGGAATGAGTGGCTCTACTTGCTTGTTGAGCAGATTTTGAACCAAGCATCCTAACTTTAGCACCTTTTAAAAAAAAAGATTTATTTACTGTTACAGAAATGACAGATTTACAGAGAGGAGACAGAAAGATCTTCCGTACACTGGTTTACTCCCCAAATGGCCACAATGGTTGGGGTCGAACCAATCTGAAGTCAGGAGCCAAGAGCTTGTTTAGGGTTTCCTAAGTGTGTGCAGGGTGCCAAGGCTTTGTGCCATCCTCCAATGCTTTCCCAGGCCATAAGCAGTGGAGCATCTGAGCCATAAACTGGTGTCCATATGGGACGCTGGTGCTAGCAGGCAGAGGATTAGCCAATTGAGCCATTTATCCAGACCCCTCCACCTCAAGTACAATTTTCACTCTTCATTTAGTGCCACCAATTTCTGAGCCCCAAGAACTGGTTGTGCTAATAAAGTTTTCATGGTTCTGCCCACTGCTGAGTATTGCAGGTTTTCCATGTTGACCAAGTCTATTCTTACCAGCCCATCTGTTTACCAGCTTTCAAAACGTCATGGCTTTTTTTTTTTTTTAAACAGCTTTACCATTTTTATTGACCCTGTGTATACTCAATTCTTTATTATTTGTTTAGTTGGATATTGGAAGGTATTTGCCCTCAATCCACTATCTTCAAGCCAAAGTCAACATTTAACAGAAATTTTTATTAGAAAGTATTTATATTGTTTCCCACCATAATGGTGTTATCATTTCTCCTTTCTGCTTTTCTCTCAGTATAGACCTGTGTTCCCTTAAGGATAGGAACCAAGTATTTCCTATCTCTGTAATCTAAGGACATGGCACCATGTTTGGCATCTACTACTTCCCATACTGAGGCCAAATATATAGTTTCAACCCCATCTCATCAATCGGGAAGCATGCCTTGGGTTTGCAGTATCTCTTCCACAGTCCAGTTGCTTTTCCTGTGGATGGCCTGATAAAAGGACAGATGGTAGACTGGCCAGTGCCCTGGACAGTGTTTCCAGCTGGGATTGGCCACCAGCTAGCCCCTTAAGTTTACAATGGAATGGTAGGACACAGGAGGCCGAACAGCAAAGGACTAAAAGAGTACTTCCCAAGTTCAACTCCCTGACCTACAGTGACCTGGGGTAAGTTAGGTAACTCAGTGCTTCAAATTTTCTCCCCTTGGAAAATGCAAATAATAATAACTGATCCAAAATACAATCCTTTTTGAGCATAACACAATGCCACCACAGGAAACTTCACACTATCTTCACAGGACTAGTCATAGTCAAAACACAAGTTAACTCAAATCATTGTTTAAAGTACCTTGAGGCTTTGTATATAAGGTATATACAAAACAGAAATGAATTCTTCATTAGACTTGGGTCTCAGCCCTAAGATATCTCACTGTGTATGTGTACCACCCAAGCCCCTAAAAGAAAAAACAATCAAATTTGAAATACTTCTGGTTGCAGACATTTTGGATAAGGGATACTCAACCTCTAGAACCTATCCTTACCGAGATCTTGACAAGGATCAGTGGTACTGCCTGGCACATGCATACGATGCTTCACACACTGGAGTTATAAGTTACTTCAAGTGGAAGGGTGAAGAACTAGGGTCCGGCCCATAGCAAAAAGTGATTTCCAAAGTCAAATATGTTCTCCACTTTTTTTTTTTACAACCATGATCTTCCCTAGGTTACAGCTGTAGCAGAAGCAGTGCAGCCCCACTTTTCAGTCCCAGTTTGATTTCAGACAACCAACAAAAATTGGTGCAAATGACTTGGGCAGCCTTACAGATCCCTAGTAACTCTTAGATTCTAAAATTTGTGAAAGGGGATCAAAATGTATCTGTAATTATCATTTCCTAAGACATCTAGAAGATGATAGTTGCAAAGCACTTTTAAGGTGCTAAAATTAAAGAGGTGCCATGAGTGAAAGGTATTAATAGGCTTGTGGGCAATGGAGAACAACTCTTTTCACACTCATTCTATGTGTGTGATATTTATCACTCTCCCAAGAATAACTAGGGCTATTTTTACATAGAACTGTGTTATAAGCTCGTTGTTACTAGGTCAGCCACCAGCACTCTTACCTTTTTCAGACTTGCCATTTTCTGACTTAAATCATTCATTTGTTGCCTAGCTGGATTACTAACAAAGACAGTGGATTCTAATTTGAGGATCATTCTGAAGTCTAGGCCAATCTGCCAGATATTATATTCAGAGTAGCTTTTAGTATCTATTGAATGTACCATAAATATGCCAAGTAAAAATGGTCTGGTTAGGGATCAGCTTGTATGTCAGTGGGTTAAGCTACCACCTGCAACACCAGCATCCTGTATGAGTGCTGGTTTTACCTGCTCCACTTTTGATTCAGCACCCTGTTAATGTGCCTCAGAAAGCAGTGCAATATGGCCAAAGATTTGGATCCTTCCAGCCATGCTGGTGACCTGGATGGGGCTCCAGACACCTGGCTTATGCTTGGTCTGGCCCTGGACATTGTGGCCATCGGGTGATGCAGCAGATGGAAAACAGCCCTCACACTCGCTTTCTTGGGCTCCGTCTCTTCCTCTCTGTAATTCTGCATTGGATAAGCTTTCTAGCTTGCTATTGGTCATGAATTCCCAAACTGACTACTGATTAAACAAGTGTCTAATCTCCTTCTTTATCTCAACTTCTTGGGGGCTGTTCCTGGCACAAGTAAAATGTTTACTGAGTATGGGAGATTGCAAAATGGCCAGGAATATTTATCCATCCTGTGCCGACTTGCTTTAAAGTCTGACTTTATAGTGCCTTCCCTTAAAAGGTGGGCATCCCACTTGTTCTGGTCAATGAAACTCAGTAGAAATGGTACTGTGCTTGCACATGTGCCTGCCTCACTCCCTATGAGCACATGACTGGCTACCTGGAGCATGAGATCCACTGTGTGGATCAAGGCCAAATCTGCTCAGCTGTCCCAGAGATATGGGAAAGTCAGCCATGCAAAGCAGAACTGCAGATCCACCTGCTGCTGACCTCTGGCCTGTGAAGAAGCCCTGTGAACCCACTCTACATTACCAGCATGAAGATTAATGCATTGGATGAATGACTATTGCTCTAAGCACTATGTTTCAGGTGGCTTGATGAGCAGCATTGCAGAGTCAACAAATAACAAACCTGAGGTGACGTTTTAAAAGATTCATTGAAAAAATAAAAAGATAAGTTGGTTTTAATGTAAATGTCATTTGAAATCCATCTATAGCTTTTCTGTAACATGCATTTTCCAAGCATTTTTTAAAAGATCATGGATTCTAGCACCAGTGAGTGTGGTGACATAATGAGTATGGTGACAACTGCATCCTATTTAGAAACCAGCTTGGTCCACGCTGCTCCACTTCTAATTCAGCTGCCTACTATTCGCCTGGATTAAGTACAGGATGACTCAGATGTTTAGGCACTTGTCACCCATGGGAGAGACCTGAATGAAGCTCCTGGCTCCTGGCTTTAGCCTGACCTACTCCAAATTGTTGCAGCCATGCAGGGAGTGTACCAGAGGATGGAGAATCTTTCTTCTGTCTGTTTTTACCTCTCTGTGTATCTATGATTTTCAAATAAATAAACAAATATTTTTTAGAAAAAAAATGACTATGGCTTTCAAAAATAACTGCACTAAAAATAAACTTGCTGTTCAATACCATTTTTCATGAACTTTTGAAGTACTCTAGTAAACTAAGCAAGTTGAAGATATCATTGTACCATTATTTTACTCGACTGTTATGTTTTTCCTCCTGCTTTTGAACAACACACTATGCATATGCATATGCAATGTGCAGTGTATAACTTACTGGTCTTTATGATCTGGTGTTTAAGTGGCTTTTTAAAACAAATGTTCGAGATATTTCTTGAAGATGTTTGCATGATGACACCACTATGAAGATCTCAATAATATAATTCAAGGCTGGAAAATGGCCTGTGTAGCCTAGGGTTAAGATGCCTGCATCTCATGTTGGAGTGCTTGGGTTCAAGTTCCTGCTGGGCTCCTGATCCTGGTTTCTCCTGAGGTGAGAAGTGATAGTTCAAGTAGCTGGGTTACATTGAGTTCATAGCACCAGATTTCAGCCTGGTCTAAGTCAAGTTGTTCTGGACATTTTGGGGTTGCGAAATTGAGTTAGGAGATAACTCTAAGTTTCTCTCTCTGTGTTTCTCTGGTTCTCAAACAAAAGGATGACTAGTACTCTGCATTTGATAAATGGGGAAGCTGAGGCTCAGTTAAAACAATTCCTAAGAGGCAGAGAGCAAGAATCCACACCCGAGCATTTCGGCAGTGCATTTTGCTTGTCTCCTTGAAGGAAGGGCAAGGAAACATATGTGTGTGCACATGTGCATGCAATGAATGCACATAGAGAGAATGGTGCCCATTGGTGAGAAGGAGCCAGCCTTACCTGAGCCAGATGCAGAGGCATAGTCATCGTCATCAATAGGATACGTTCCAGAAGCTTCTTCAACGGAGCTGTTGTCAAGGTACATGTCTTTATCAGATGTTAGTTCTGCTCTCTGGGAAAAGAAAGACAAGGCATTCAGGGATGGTAAACAACGAACAAATGAGTTGACCTCACTGTTGTGATGTACGTCCCAGGGACTGCTCTTCCTTCCTCTCCTTCTTTGGAATCCACATCTACGATCATCAAGTTCTCCAGAACACCATGACAACTTGCAATAAGTCAAGGGCTGACCGAGGAATTACCCACAAGAGAAGCCTATGTAGCCTAATCCAGTGGAATGGAGCATGAAATCCTAGGCACCCACCATGAGCCCAGTTCAGGCATTCTTTCTGTTGCAGATGAGGTTCCTTACCTGGAAAAGCTATAAGAACACTCAAATCACTTAAGACTATCGTGGGGGGACAAATATAAAGACAAAATAGTTACCCAGAGAGCTCAAGGGAAACCAGACACTCCCAGGTCTGGCCAGGCACAAGGGCTTTATCACTACGGATGAAAGCTCTCCTGCGACTGGGCAGTCCAGAGCTTTTTGCCCCAGCTTAGATCCATGCTAACGTCAGGCATGACATGCTGCAGAGCAGCACCTGCCAGGCTCATTAGACAAGGGCAGGAGCCCTGGTAAGCCTGAATCGAGGGCTCAAGAGCTTAGCAGTGCCTTAATGACAGAAACAGATAAACCCAGTGAGCACATTCTTTTTGCATTACTGGCACTTGCTCACAGCAAACCACACGACGCATATGAAGAGGGATCAGCTACTAAGTAGACCAGCTCCATAATTTCTTCACCCGTCACTAAGAGTTCAGTATTAAATTCAACCCAACCCTGCCAAAGGAGTAACTCGAATGAATTGGACACAGAGGAATAATTTTTAAGTAGTTTTAGTAAGTACATATTTTATCATCAGTATCTCACCAAAGCCCAGAAACAAACAGAGCAAACTGGCAGTATTTAAATGACATTTGTATTTGGAAACAGGCAACATTCATTATTATCTATTTTTAAAGAGTAAATTGAATATGTGTTCCTCACAGGAGTTATTTTTAAAAATGTTTGCCTGACTACATTGGCTTCTAGTAGATTTCCCTTAAAATAAGACCTTCTGTTCCAGCGGTGGCTATGATTGGACCCCTTTCCTAGGGTGACAGAAATCCAACCTTCTATCACAGTACCCTTTTATGCTCTCAAGTTTGGGCGCCTGGCCAAAGAGTTTAACATTTTGGAAACCTGAGCCTACTTTCTTCACGAGGCCTCAGTACTCATGGCAGAAAAGTAAGGAAACCATTTTGTTGTTGTCACACCCACAGATTCTTAGCGCTGGAACTTTAGGGGGCTGTTCTTCCAGCAGTTGGATTTGCAGCCACTGAGTGACACTCCATGAGCCAAGAACATTTTGGAACTTTTCTGCTAAAAGAGGCAGAGCTTGGCCCTGCAACTGCAGCCTGTCCTGAAGGATACCCATTTCCAAGAATATCACCATTCCAGACTGTAATTCCCAAATCTTATAAATTGGGAGACCCATGTTCCAAAATTGGTGACCAACTTAACTGGTGTCTATTATAGTATAAGAGACTTAGAGGGTGAGGGCAGTACCCCAATTCATCTTTAAGTCACCATGAGTGCACCATTAATGCCTGCCATATAGCAAGTGTTCAGTCAACACACTGGGTCACTGTTCATGCTCCCATTTGAAAGTCAATCTGAATCCTTCTTGCACTGAACTGTGTCCTCTCGAGCCCAGCTTTGTGCTACTGTGGATGCAATCACTGCATGTAATGCTGGCATCCCACATTAGAGTGTCAGTTCAAGTCCTGGCTGATCTGATTCCAAAGAAGCTCCCTGTACATACGCCTGGGCAGGCAGCAGAAGATGGTCCAAAAACCTGGTCCCCTGCCATCCACATGGAAGACCCAGATGGAGCTCCAGGCTCCTGGCTTTGGTCTGGCTCAGCCTGGTCTTTGCGGTGATTTGGAGAGTGAACCAGAATGAAAGTTCTTTTTGTTTCTTCTATCTCTGCCAATCTGCCTTCCCAATAAATTATATATATGATACCTATAAAGAATCTATAAAATGTCTATAATTATAAATTATACAGAAACATACGTAAAACATACATGCGTGTTTTTTAAGAAATAGACTATGTCCTGTTACCTTCACCCAGAGGACTTTTTGTTTTCTCTCTGAAATTCTGGCTCTCAAAATAGGTTCAGATTTCTGTAACTCTTACCTGTGCCATAGTTGCAAACTATACTGTTTATTACGCTGTGTAATGTGAACAATTTAGGACACAAACTTCCACTGTTTTTTTGTAATTGTTCTGTGTGTCTTTGTCCTGCCTCTTCGCAGAGACAACTCTCTGAAAGCAAGTCTTGAATAACCAGTGTGTTTCCTGTCCCTCTCAAAGTGCATGGCATTCAATAAATATTTGCTTGCTGAGATTACTTAAACCAATTGGCCTTTGATTTTGGCTTCAACATCAGCACATGTCATAAGACCTTCAGGATTTCTACGGGTAAAATCTCTCTTTTTATGTCAGAAATCATCTGCTCCACACTGCACCTTATCTAATAAGTAACATAATCCAAATCAGTAAAAGATTTCCTTTACACATCAGGAATAATTTTCCTCTTTGTTAACACTGAGTGACTTTAATTTTCTACTTGTCTCTGTCAAAGAAGTTGGCTGTGGCAAGAGTAACACAGATATTTCATCCCTATGTGTAAACTGAATCTCTACTCATCAGATGACACAGTTGTCTGAACTCACACAACTGTCATACAAACAGGTAAATGGGCCCAAACTGAGAATTCTAGCCACTTCACATTCCCACCACATTGGACAGCCTGACAAACCAACCGACTTCCCCAGCACAAGCAGTTTGTTGGGCGGTAACCAACAAGCCAAGTCAGCTTGCTGGAGGCCACTTAGGGTCGGTGGGTTACCAGGGTGGTCCCGGGGCTGACTCCATGTGTCATATAGTTGAGGGAAGTGGAAAGCTCCACATTTGTCTCTCCTGTCATCTAGCACAGTGTGAAAAACTGTGCTATCAAAATCAAAACATTCTCTCCCACTGTAATTGTAGGACCCCTAAGAACGTAGGAAGCATCACCAAAATCCTTCCCAGGAAATTCAATTTAATAATAAGCAGAGCCCTTTGTACTTGAAGCAGATAGTACTCAAAGAATAGCTCCATTGTCTTTCCCCTAACAACAACAACAACAACACTTCTCCAAACATGACAAATTCCTCTGATGAAGACTGCACACTCTGTGCCCTAAGGGATTTCTGTCGTTACCATACTTGGTGAAGAAACCTAATCATGCATCCACATTCCCTTGGCATAAGAGGATGTGTGCATTTGCAGAAGGCCATGAAAAGAGGCAGCTGATTTACACCTGGCCACATGTGGCTGGCCTCACAGAGCAGAACACTCTGGGACACTGTCTGCACATTCTCACTTGCTCAACAGGGTAGGGCCATGGGACCCAAACAACTGGAAGGAAACATTCAGAGGCACAGAGCCACAGCCTGCCTGCAGGGTTTCATTACGAGGTTGTTTAATTTGGGACTGACGGTGGCTGTGAGGCACTGCCAACACTGTTGGCTAACAGGGTTCAGAGTACAACTTGGAGAAAAAACAAAGCTGATCTTTCAGATCTCCCCCAACCTCGGCTGATGCAAGACAGAAATACAGGAGAGAGCAAAGGGAAGTTGTGGACAGGAGTGTGGCATGGAGGAGAGGACGAACCACTGCAGATGGAAAGAAGGTGCTTGGCTATATGCCATGTCCTGAGATTCACTGCCCCCACAACTCCCCAATCTTGTTCCTCCACAACATCCAGAAGGATGGTAAGATGCACACTTATCTTCTAATCCTGTCCTTTCTTCCCTGGCTTCCAAAACTTTAGCAAACATATCCTATTGGGTAGGACCACTGCTTAGGCCTTCTGACTTGACGTCTACCCATGTCTTTGACCTTGAAGCCATTCTTAAATTCCAACACTTCACATCAGCCCCTGGGGACAAGCCCTTTATTGGCCCTGTTTCACCTACAGGCCGACAGAAACTCATCAGCTGGGAAGCAAGTTCGCTTACTACATGGCATCACCTGAATTTCCAGGAGCAGTGCTGTCACTTCCACTCTCCAAGTCAAAGAACACAGAGACGTGTTTGTCACAAAACCCACTATAAAGAAGTAAATTCCTCTAAGGATGGGAAACTAAGGAAAGCTAGGCGACCTAGATCTTCTTTGCTACATGATAAAACTAAGTTTTGATAAAATGATTTGACCCAAACTTACATGGCATTTGTAACAAAAAAATAAAAGAAAAATGTGGATTCACTGCACAAAAGATCACCCATTTCAGTTTCAGTGATGAGAAGCATCACACTCCTGTCCATTGCCTCAGCGGAGACAGTCTGTAGCAAAGCAGCTTAACAAACCTAGTTTGATTGTTCTAAGTAGGTAAAGCCTATTTAGAACAAATGCCTGTGTTTTCCATGAGCACAGAAATCTGTTATTTAAACCTCTAAAGTCTTTCCTGGGATACACACAGGCCTCTGCTCCTCAGTAGAGGCCCTCCGATTGCTTTCAAGACAGATAAGTTCAAAGCAGTAAGTGCTAAATTCACACAATGACTTAAACTTGGATTCGCAACAAAACCAGAAAGCAGAAAATCTAACAACAAGACTCTAAACCTTTCCCAACTCTCAGAAAATCAGCCTTGACTCAGAACCCCAACCATGAAAGAAGTGCAGGTTCCAGGGTCTGACCGTGGAGCGCATGCGTCAAAGCTGAACCTCCTCAGTGGCTCAGATGGAGCAGTGGACAGCATATCCAGGTGCACATGGAGGGTACTGTAGTACGGTGGAGCCTGAATAGGACACCTGGTACCAGAACAGAGGACAGAACAAATTGACCAACTAGCCCAGTCAAGTGTTGGCAGTGAAAATCTGGGAAAGTAGAGCCGCTAAGCTGGACTATGTCAGCCAGTGGATTCTGAAGAGACTTCATCGCGCTTGGAATGGCAAGATTGGCAGTAATACAGAACTGC